GGTTCATACATACATATATACATACATACATACATACATACATACATACATACATACATACATACATACATACATACATACATACATACATACATACATACATACATACATACATACATACATACATACATACATACATACATACTTACATACATACATACATACATACATACATACATACATACATACATACATACATACATACATACATACATACATGCATACATACATATATACATACATACTTACATACATACATACATACATACATACATACATACAGACAGATAGACAGACAGACAGACACACACACGCGCGCGCGCAATTCACACGCACAACACACACAGACAGAAAACACACATATACATATTTAAAATAATACTTTTATACACATAATTGTATAAACGTTAAAATTTTTTGAATGTAAGAGCTCACTTTAGCTGAAAGGAATGCACTGATGTCATTTGAAAGACATCTTACTATTAGGAATTGACTTGACGATGAGGACAATGGTGATAACGATGGTGTAGCTGATGATGATGATGACGATGAAGATGGCGATGACGAGGGTGATGGTGATGATGGTAGTGGTGATGGGTGGCGTAGCTGATGATGAAGATGATGATGCTGATGATGGTGATGTAGCTGATGATGATGGTGGTGGTGTAGCTGATGATGATAATGATGAAGTTGGCGGTGATGATGACAGTAATGATGCCGTTGTTATTGTTTTTGTTGATGATGACGATATAATTGTAGTTGTTATTGTCGGTAATGTTGTTGTTGTTGTTGTTGATGTTTTGGTTGTTGTTGCTGACGCCGATTCTACCGTTGTTGGAAAAGTCGAATGGACACTTCTTCTTGACCTGTTTAGTAATAATAATAATAATAATAGTAATAATAATCTGAATAATAATTCGAATAATAGTAATAATAATAATCGTCATCCTCATCATCATCGTCTTAATCACAATCATAATAATCTTCATCATATATCACCATCATCAAGCGAGACAGACGCATTAACATTACGTGACGACCATTGACATTGAATTAAAATTCTGTTTGCATTTTATTATGATAATTTATGATCATTTTATGATATATGAATGAATGTTGGATAACTTACCTCTTCTTTTCTTGTAATTTTAGCATTGTAGACAGCTGAAGAAATATTTTTTTTATTTAAGAACAATACAATCGTTGCCAAAGTTATCATCACCAACAACCTATCATCATCACCACCATCATCATTACCAATTATCATTGTCATTATCATCATCACATCATCATTACCATCAATACCATTTATCATCATTAATATCATCAACAACATCACCATCCTAGTCATCATTTTTCTTCAGTATCATCATCATTCATTCTCATCATCTTTCTCATCATGTCCTCATCATTGTCGTCGTCGTCACCATCATGTACATGCGTGTCCTGGACAGATGTCATGCAGCTAATATTATAATGTCTTTGCCCCGTTGCATCTTC